ACCTCGTGCGCTACAACGCGATGTAATCCCGCTTTTGAAGTCTGAATTGTGACCCGTTGAAATAAAGTACTTCACATTTCTTTCGAGGAGGTAAAATAAAGGTCAACATCAGTGGCCTATGAAGAGGTCTGCCATATGATCTTAAAAATCACAATATGCATCATCTTAAAGCTTAACCTTTGTATTTTGATTATTTCAATTCTCTATCTCGGCCAGCCATAAGCGGCACGTCCAGGCTTAGGAGGGACCTTTTTTCAAGACCGCGTGAGAGGTGGCACATCGACCGAAAAATGACTATCTTAATATTTTGCTCAGAGATACCTTATAGTGAACTTAGAAACGTGGTAAGGTTTTATTTATTTTTTTTTTAGACTTGCTTTTTTATCCTAGAAAATTCAGGAAAACTGAAAGGAGCGTATGTGGCCGTAAAATGGCGGAAATCAGTGCCCCGAGTAGGTGCAAATGAACTTTGCTCATGAGAAGAGCAAAAGAAAGCAAGCTCATATCAACTCGACAAATTTGTTTAGGAAGGATTGAGGCATGGCTTAGTTTTAAAACGGGACCATTTCATTCAATTTTGAGCTCGAGTGACGCTTTTAAAGATTACCAATATTATAAAATCTAAATATCGCATTTCGTAGCAAATTTCCAATGATCATGTTCACCATGCAGTATAACTCAGAATCGGTTCAGACTAAGCTCGTGATAACTGTAAATTGTGGCGTTTTTGAGGATATAAAAATTAGTTTGGGGCTTTTCAATTCCGCACTGAAAACCAGGCTAAACTTTGTGAAAATCGCAAAATCGTCTTCACATCACGACATATCTAACTAGGCTCCCCGTGACTAGATCCGGAATTCTAAGTATATTTTAGAAGTTAGCACCATGTTTACTCAGCAAGTCAATACACTAGCTTAGCCTTGCGTAGCTAACCACAGCAGATCGGTTTTTATCTCTGCTTTCGCTTCAAATTCTCATCCATTTTCCATGGCAAAATTGTTTACAATAACACATTCCCTATAATCGTAGGGCGTCTGTTTTTCTTTGCGTATTCGAAAACCTATAGGCTTTAAGAAAGCTCCGGGGTAAACTTGAGCTTCACTGTGGACTTGAAACAGGACAATTCCATCATTTAAAACGGTAGGTCAAATGTTCTTTGCTGAAGACGTTGAAGACGGGAAGTAATCTTATACTACTCTGACTTACTCAAGCGTTTGTCACGCAAGGTCGAAATATTTTCAATCACAATTGATTGTTCCTTTCTTGCTGTTTTTTTTTGGCCGTGAGGAAAACACTTTTAAAAAACTTGTTCATTAGATAATATAGAATATGTAACCTTGGAAGAGTGTTTTACTGAAAAGCAGAGATACAAATGCAAGCGGACTCACCCCCACCCGTTGAAAACCCCTATATATGGTAACTATTTTTAATCGAAAATCATAGTTCTCAGTGGTGAGTAAAAGAAGACAATGTGGCATGGTTTTGCTCGGATTATCAAACAGATGACATCGTTTGACCGAGGGATACTGAAAGTACTATGCCAGAAGAAAAAATGATGCGTCGATCAATTCAAAGCTTCGACATCGCCTCCCTTCAGGAATTTTAACTTTTTAAGATTGATTCCAGTCCCCTGGGCCAAAATCATGTTCAAATTCCCCACCCAGGTGCTAGATTTTAGCCGTTCTCAATGGAGATAACTGTTAGCCGTAAAACGGAAAAAATTAGCCATTAGGTGTAAAAACTGAGAAATTTTAACTGTGAGTCCTTAAAAAAATAAAGCTGTATAAAATTAGCACTAGCCATATAAAATGGCCAAAATTGTAACCGTTAGCTGTGAAACGCATCTTTCCATTGAGACCCTCATTTCATTGTCACATCTTTTCAAAAAGGCACGAGCAACAATTGATTTGACTATTCAAGCTCTAAAACATAGATCTTGTAGACCCTATATTCTGATCGATCCGCTTTAAGTACCTCCATATTAAAGCTAAACCACCAGTATTCTACTGAAAAGACTTGACACTTCCGGTTCAAATTCCTTCCCCCACCCAGGTAAGGTTCAAAGACGACACTCAGAAGCTTGTGGGTTGTCCCGGATGTTGAAGCTGCGATTAATCGGTTTATAACGTCACTAACACTAATTCAACTTTTTCTGAACATCAAAATCTAAAAAAAAGAACGCCAATTAGTACACCAGCGCTAAGTAAAACTAATTGGATTGAGTTAACGACCACACCTATAAGAATAGAACATTCCTATTTAAATTCACGACTCATACACAAGAGTGGGTGTGCAGCTCATACTAGGAGCTGCTGAGAATACAAAGAACCGGAATTACAGGCCTCAGGAAATAGAAACCGCTAAACGGCTTTCTAACGAGTCTGCAACATAACCATATTTAGCGTTTTCCGAACGCCATCTACCGTGTCTCTTAAACATTTTGTCAGAAATACCGCCGTTAGTAGCGGAAGACGCACCGCCACTTCTAAAGCTGTGCCAAGAAAAGGATGCACGGTCTAGGCCTACGCCAGCTAACTTTTTTGACAAAATCTCACGACATCTGGTATATGAAATCTTGGATCCGGCACGGACAAATTGGGTTCCGGAATTAGTCTGTATGTCCCCAAACAGGAAGTCATCACCACCATTAAGAGATCTAGGGAGAACGAGATTAGCTTGGGACCAGTATTTGACAAGGTTAGCCCGGGGAAAGAGGTCAGTACTGGTTTTGACAATTGGTACAACGGCACCCTCACGATACTGGTCGGTCTTGCTACTTTCAATAAATAGTTCAAAGTATGTTAGATGTGGAATTACGTCCTTGAGTCTTAGGTTTGAAAGTTCATCAAACCTCAATAACCCTGCGTAAGCGAGGAGTGCCATGGCCATAAATCTCGTATCGACCAGAGAGCCATCCAGGCCCTGGAAGAACTTAAGGAGAATTTGGGTAGTCATCGGGGGCTTCTTGGATTTGTGATGCGACAATCTCCGTCGGGCAGATTCCAAAACTTTCTGTGGAAACGTGTGGCTCGTTGGTGACTGGAAACCAGCAAGATCATGTGCCCATGGGATGCTATACAAGGCCGTCTGGACCGGAGCTGGAGAAGCAGAAGCTTAAAGGACAATGAGTAAATACAAGGACACGAAAGCCGGGGATGCTGGCAAGACGCTAATTTCAGGGAGCCTAGAGGCCCAAGAACGCCAGCTTTTAAAACCGCAAAGATATGTAGCAGTTGTACTCTCTGCTCTGGAGCCAACGATCACTTGGGGTAATGTGTTTGCTAAGAGACGCGAGGAAGGATCTTGAGCGTGGGTAAGCTCTGACCACATGGGACTGGAAAAACGTCGAGGAAGACAAAAACGGAGCTAGAAGGAACTTTAACCAGAAAATTGGTTGGGGGCCCACGGAAAAGGGATATACTAGAAACGATCCTACGGATTAGAACCGAGTCAAAAACCGTAGGAATAGTATGAAAACTACACAAGGCAAGCAGACACGGATATTACAAACATGAACGGCCTCTAAACGTACACAAGTGCATGAAACGAGAAGAACACACAGCCACCGAGGCACGAAAAAACTATAAAACAGGACTACCAATAGCACCGCCACCGAGGCGTGCACAAGTCACCTGGACTAATAAGCATAGACAGCCACGGAGGCAATCACTAGACACCGCGACTAGAGGCACGCATGGCCACCGAGGCCGACAATAGACAGCGAGACTACAAACATACTGAACTACGAGATAGAGCCGACCTACGCGAGGTCAAGGAAACACCGTCAATGGGAAAAAATTCTCCAATGAGAAACAGTAAACATGAAGAAAAAGGGGCACAAGTTACAGCAATCATGATATAATTTAATCGGACATATAACGAGGTGAAGATAAGAGGTGCAAGATTACAATGGCGTGAAATGAAATAACAAATCAGGGAGATAATCGTAAGCTAACAAGCGGATAAACGAACTGCTAGTACATAAGACTTGAACCTAGACCCATCAAAAATGGATTCGGAGGAGCCCCTAATAAAAATCCCTGTAACGTAAGTGAAAGTAATGATGCCCTTGACAAGGGAATGGTAGGGAGACTCGATCCCAAAGAGCATGGGCCAAAACGGGGACGAAATCCATTGGGGTACGATAAGAGTACCGCATCTTTTCAATGCGCAAAATGCCTGATAGCCCGAGAAACAAGGGACACTAGGGGTAGTAGCCAATTGTTCTCCCCAACCCAGTCGTAGCAAAAAGCGTCGACACCTTCACAACCAGGGTTCCAATAGCGTGAATAGAATCTAGTAGGTTTAAAATTGTGGGAATTAGCAAACCGATACAGAGACTGAGGGCCCCATTTATCCATATTATGGAATTTAGTCACAAGGTCGGTGAAGTT